TCCTAAACTAGGGTGAACAATAGTCCAAGTTTGAGAAGTGAAAGTTCTATGTCCCAGGAAACCCTCAGTCCCAGGAAAACCAGGGTAGTTGACATGTCCTCTCTTGCTAATCAAAGCAAGAGCTCTTCCTGTCTAAGGAGGTTGTTACTGCCTTGCTTGAAGAGCCTGTAATGACTTCACCTGAGGTAATAATTACCTTGTAAAGGCAAACCGATTTCCCCTGTGCATCTCCCACATTTTTCTCATTATCTCTACACACATAAAATCGGATTCCAGCACGGAGAGGGGCTGCGGTGGATAGCATTAAAAAGTCAAACATGGGAGGGGAGGCCTCAAGTCAAAAAAATTCTAGATTTTGTTCATGTATACTGGTAAAAACCCAAGAAAAAAATGTATGGGACTCTGGGAACGTTATACTAAGGAAGGAGAAACGTAATTTTGGACTGGGCAGCATGGATTGACAGAGGCGCACTTGCCACAGACTGCGGATCCAGGGTGCTGCCTCGAGCAGCTGGAAGTGACTCTCCTCGTTGGTTCAGACAGGTGAGTGAAATACGAACTTAGTAATAACCCACGTTAAATGAAACAGAATGCAAACATTCTTTGAAATAATATAAAGGAATTCAAAGATTTACAAAGACAGGAATGTTGTGTGGATTTGTCGTACGCGCTCTGACTATCCTAACAATCCCCTAAATCTCCTGAGAGGGCCTCTCAGTGACCCTCCTTCCACTAAGACCTTGAGAAATATATTTGTGACGGAAACACCAGCATCCATGAAAAGCATTCTCATGACTCTTCTCTGTGAGCTGGGAAGGCTTGTGGGAAATGCTCTGGTGAAAAGTTTTTCCGGTTTCAATGGAGACATCAGAATCTTGAGGTCGGTAGAGGCTTGATGGCAGCACTTTGTAGCAATTAACTGGAGACAAGGCGAAAACAGTCATAATAGGAGCAGGCCCGATATAGTCTGAATAGTTCGGCCCACGGAAATCCTTGGTGGTGAAGAGTTAATCACAGGGCTTCATGGCCTGAAATGATGTTCAAAAAATTAGCCAGGCAGCATAGATACTGGCCGAGAAAAATGGATACCATTGTAAAAAACCAATACAGCCACACCAGTACATACCTGCCGAATACAGTCTGGCTTAGGACCAAATACGTGGGCAACCCGTGTTGGCCCTACTTGATATGTGCAACTACAGCAGAAAAGCCTGACTGTAGCCACCAAGATAGAGTGTGTGATACGAAAGACCCCTGAGATAAAGAACTCTGTAATAATATCGTATGTTTCCAAAATCTTTCCCTGAGGCTCTCGCTTACTAGGATAACATTGCGCTGCAGAAAGGAAACTACTAGGCCTTTTGGAAGTCATCTGGGAAAAGCTCTGAACAAATATGAATTTCTGGAGTCTCTGGTAACCATTGTGGTCTGTGGGACAAAGTGTATGCTATAGGAATGAACCTACCCTCCAGTAATTTTCCCAGTTACTTGAACAGTTAAAATTGATTTCTCTGTCTTCTATGGTGATATATGCACACTGGATCCCTAATGCATAAATAAATGGTTATTCTATCAAGAAGTACCAAGAGATTTGCAGAGATGAGTCCCACCACCCAAAGCTTTAAAAGAAGCAGGAGTGTGGTTCTTATCACATTTTGATTTAACATGACCTTTGGCATGCGTGGGAGTAAACAGATGGGTCTCTAAGAATGACTGCGCATATTCAGAAATTTAATCTGATGGTGATTCCAATTGCAGCTGCTGTCAGTTCAGTTCTCTTTCTTGGAGCAGATCAGTAGGTAGCTAGCTATTGATTTGGTCAATGCTTTTTTTTGTTGTTTTTCCTTTATTCGTGTAAGTAGAGCACACTTGAAGTGGTTTGTTCTGTCTCAATAAGCAGCAATACAGATTGTCTTTTTTCAGTGTTACATTAACTCTCTGACTCCGTGTCAGAATATAACTCTTGATACCAGAACTTGATCATCTTACCATTGTGCAGGGCAGCATGCTGACCTAACACATTGACGATGACATCCCAACAGGACCTGGAGAATGGGAGTTATTAGTTCTCTGGATGCCTGGGAAGCCACGTTATGCCAGAGGGTGGAAGATAAACCCCGGGAGAACACAGAGCCTGCCAGCTCAGGCAAGTTTAGCGGAGGCCCAGGGTCTGGTGCATGTGGGGACGTCGCCTCCATAGCAAGGAACAAGTTGGGTACTTTGCTTTGCCAATGACTAAGGAGGCCCCCCATTATTTGGTGGGCTTCTTTAAATTTTATGTGCCCTGCATTTATGGGTTGATTCAAATGCTTCTAGCTTTGACTGGGCTTGGAAAGAAAGGTCTCCCCAGCTGTCTGGGCTGCAGTGAAATTAGTTCTACCACATGGACCTTATGAGGGAGATCCAATGGGCTCAGAGCTTCTGTGGCAAATCAGGATTATGACTTTCGAGTGAAAACCACACCCTCTTCAGAAATTCTCCTTTTGACGTACTACCGGGCTACTTGAGATGAAAGCAAATGAAAGAAAATTGTTTTGTTCAAAAGTGTTCTACAAAGAACTCAGGCATCTCAGAACCTTCTCGGTGCTGAGGGGGTGGGTGGTGTGTGTAAGCAGTCATACGGGAACACTTGAGTTCCCAGGCAACATGTTTGTGGCTTAATACCAGAAATGTGTCATGGTCTGCCAACTCACCTGGCCCACTCTTCGGTTCACTATGCAAGCATCCTCCGCTCTTAGCTTAACACATAATAGACCAGTAAGGAATGAAGAGCAAAGAACACACTTGAAGATATGCTTGATTTAATTCAGTAAAATTTAAAAAGACACTGCAATTTTTATAAAGAGGCACTCTTCAAAAATAACCATTTAAAAATATAATATATACAGTATCAGGATTCTCAAGTTACAAGCCATAGAGACTGATTCTGACTTCCAAGAACAAAAGGGAAGATGTTTGGTAGCTCAAAGGAGGTGCTGTACAATTGAAAATGAGGGTGGCACTAAGCATTTAAACAGCAAGAGCTCATAAGCATCGCCCCAGGAACTCCTCCCAATGTATAGAGAAGGGGGGGCCCACCCAAGGTAAGCGCTGCGTACGTGTGTGGAGGGTTGTTGTATGTGCTCCCATCAGGCTGTGCAAACACAACCAGCAATGTACTGTACATACAAAGCTGAGTTTTCAATTATCATGTTTTTTGAGTTTTGAATTTTTTTTCTATAAAACCTACACTTCTCCCATAACAAATGTCTATTACTAGTGCTCCTGATAGGAAAAATGTATTGACAAATGCTCAGCTTGTGCATATAGAAGTAGGTTCTGAGAAATTATCATCAGAAATAGCTCCAGAAACAGTAAAGAGTTCATAAACTAGAATTTATTTCCTTTGTTTGAGTTAGGTAAATCATCTACTTTTTGTTCCATATTTTAGCTCTTTGTGCTTATCTTTCTGTGGCTACTTTTGCTAATTTAATCATAGAAACAAACCTCTGTGAGGTTAGGTAGATGGCATGCATTGTTTGATTTCAAACGAAAAAAGTTTATTGAAGTTATATCTGTTGAGGCCCTAAAATCTTGTGAACGTTAATTATACTTATTGATAGTTTTGGGGAGACCATTCAGGAAAATGACTCCTATATTTTGTTGTCTTCAGTCCTGGTAAATACTGAGAAATGAATCTTTGGCAGTGCAAGTCATATTTCTTCCCTTTGTATATACAGTAAGTGTGAGGCCCCAGCTTGAGTTCTGGCACGTCCACGGCTAGGATGAAAACACGGATGGGCAAGCTGGATGATCTGGCAGGGCAGGCCCACAATGAGCCTTGGCTCGAGGTCTGAACATGCCCTGGGAGGAAACTCATTCTGAGCTAAGAAGAAAGCGGGCAGGACAAAGTAGACCCTGTTCCAAGGCCTCGCGGGCACAGGGTCTGCTGGTTTGTTATGTCCTCTCCCTAGCCCAAGGACATGTGTCTGCATCCTAGGCCCAGTGTAAAACCAGAAGGCACTGTTTCATCAGTTCTGTAAGGTCCCCGGCACAGGCAACACTGTTTGGCATGTAGCAGGATGTGTCACAAAATGTGGAGTGAGGGGTTCCTGTTACTAAATCTCAGCATCCAGCTTTGGCATCCTGAGGAAACCAGGACACCACCATCAGTGGAAGTGCCTGGGATCCGACAGTGGAATGCTTCCCGGGATAGGGCAGCAGTAGCTAAGGAGAGACCATGGGAACAGGGAAAGCTGCAGAGGGTGCTTATGACATCCCTCAGCACACGTGAGACTCCTAAACACTTTTGGGGAGGATGGATATCTACCTTAAATGGAGTTTTTATCATTAAAATAATCTCTCATTTTGAAAAAGGCTGAAGCCTGTGAAGCTTGGAATTTTCAGAAGAGATGGCTATAACTTATCACCAAACTGTAGAATTTGATATTTTTTTTCCCAGTAAGGTGATGGTGTAACCATCCATACTGGTCCCCTCTCAACACTCTCTTGCCCTGTTCAGTAATGCATACTGGTACACAGGCAAAGGTTGGATGAAACCAGGGGAACACTTTGTAGACAAGAGACCATATATTTTTTGTGCATAAAAATTGAACTAAGAATATTGGTATCATTATCCCTGGTATCATTAACCAACTGATGTAAATAAACATTATAGAACACACATAGAATTGTGTGTCATCTTCATTACCCTGGAGACTTCATTTCTGTGATTCCTTTGCCGTGGCTGTTAGGATCTAGTTTTATTAAAAGAACACACTCAAAATAGGAGTTTCATTTAAAGCAAGAAGTGAAAAGTAAACACATGCTTTCTTTTTGTTCTAATTTTAAACTTGATTTAGATCCATTTCCAACAATGAAAGGAAAGTTGGTGTGTCACCTGTGTGCTAGCATCATGAAAGGGAGAAATGTTATTCACATTTATGAATTCATAACTGCAGTTTGATTTTTGATGTTAACTGTGGGCTTTGGACTCCTCTTTAATCAAATCAGCCTCACTGTTTAAATAGATTGTTTTTATTAATATACAATGAAATAGTTTTTAAATGATTTAACACAAGAACCTAGAGATAACATCACAATTTCACTGTTATAAAGTTAAAAGGCCTATTTGTTTCATTATCAGTTGAAATTCATTAGCACGTGAAAATTCTGGAGCTAGGTTTCTCACAAGGAAGCTACATAGCCACAGGCCTTTTTTTTTGGTTTTATTAACAGAAATACTGACTTAGTGAAATTACGAGCATAGGTTTCTTAACAGGTTCCTAGGACTCTGAACTTTTGCTTTCAATACCAAATAATATCTGGAAAACATGCTCACTTTTGTGCTTTTTGAGAAATTCTAAGAATTGGCCCAGATTCATGTGATAGTCATTCCTTAACCCATAGTCGCCATGGGCCTCAAGGAGTAACTCCTCAAAAGAATGGAAAAGGCGCAGGTCCTCGCCACTTCCTTCTGTCTCCATGCTTTCGGCATGCTTACAGGAAATATGCTTCCAATTAGGGTACCTAATTGTGTGCCAGAACTCCTCACAGTGCTCTTTGAAGCCCTCCACACAGATTATACCAGGCTTTCCTGTCATGCAAAATCCAGTCACATCTAACCTTTTCCCAACTTCCAAAATCTTTTTCCTTAGGTCCTGCTGATATATATGGTGGCTGTAGATCCACATTCGGAGGAATGTGTTCTTGACTGGCTTTCTTTGTGTAGATGGTTCATACACGAGCTTTCTGTTCAGGAAATAGGATGCACTGTTGTCCTGTAGCCACTGGATTGCTGCACATACACAGAGCTCACCTGGATCAAAAGTCCCTATGTAAGAAGTGAGACCTTTGTTGAGAAGTAGCTGCTGATGTCTGTCAAGCTCAGGTGACCGTCCAAACAGCTGCAATGCTACATAGGGGTAGCTGTGAGGCATAGTTACTTGCAAATCAATTTTCACCTTAAAATGAAAATCAAACAGATTTAAATACCATAAAATCTCATAGGCGAGTTTATCAATGGCAACTGCATGATTCTCAGATGTGAAATAATTATTGCTACTACTAAGTGTCAGCTATGTACAAAGTACTTTACATACACTATTCTTTCCATTTATACATTCATTCTTTCAAATATTTATTGAATAACTACATGTGCCAGGTGCCCTGTGCTGCAATAAAGTGAAGAAGCCAGACACTACTTCTGCCCTTCATGAAGTCTAGGGCCTCGTGAAGGAGACACACATTAAACAAATAATTACACATAGCAAGTATTTAATTTCAATTGTGAGAAGCATTACCATGGAAAAGTTGAGGGTTCCATTGAAGTGTGTAACCAGCGGGACAGAATCCAGTCTGGGGAACCAGGAAGTCTCCTCTGAGGGAATGACAACTGAAGGATGAGTAGGAAATAGCTAAAACAGTGGTTCTCAAATGCCCAGTCCACGTGTAACCTATGCTATGCTAATGTTGCTGGAGATAAATGGATCAGAAGATGAGGGTAAATTCATTTTTAGTATTTAGATTTTTGTATCTGTATTTGCTTTCTGTGTTATGGGGCCATCAAAAACAAACAAACAAAAAAAACAAAAAAACGTTCACTCACCCCTTAAAAGCCAGTTTTGTTATAGTAATTTTTAGATTTGTGAAAATCAAGACAAATGTAAAAGGTAGTCTATGCTACAACAGTTGGACTGGTAAGAAACTGGATGAATGAACAAAATAATAATGGTGATATAAGATTTCAAGATAGTTTCAATTAAAAAAACTAGGCATTTTGTTAAAAAGGTGTGTATATTTATATAAAATTCAGCATATCTACTGAAGGCAATTTATGGAGCATCCCACATATTTTATAGTTGGCTTTCAAACAAGTAAAAGAAATATGCACCTAGAATATTTCTATTTGTTTCCTAGACAGGAAGCTCATGTTCCAGGTGTTTCAGTTAAAAACTGGGTACCTAGCAACAGTTAAAACAAATCAAGGCACCCACCTTGGGCTCCTCAATCTGGAGTGTAATCACAAATTCGATTTTTGGTGGCAGCGCCTCCCTTCTGCCTTCCAAATACCTCTTTATATTCGTCAGGGCATTTACATCTTCAAGTTTTACTTCTCCTTGGTTAGGAAACATAGAAAACAGCATTTCCATCTCCAGCAGCTGAAGCTGAAGGCTTTCTTTCACCGAAGCAGACATGTTGTCTCGAAATCAACCTGCCTGGAAACCTGGAAAGGCCCAGGGACACTCAGTTTGTCAATGCCAGCTGGTGTCCTACGAAATTTCCTGAAGGTCCCTTTACGTGGAAGCAATTCTGCAGGAACGCTTCGCAGCAAGAGCTAGGGGCGCAAACCGGGACACTTACACTCTTCTGCTTTATTTCCTGCCTCCAAAATCTATTAACAGTATGCACAACATCCCCTAAAATACTCCGTTAAAATTCAGGTTCCTTGTCCCCCCACCTCCCAATCTAACCCGGGAATCCACTTTCAACAGGTAGTTGGCAAACACCTGCAGACACTCCGCAAGCCTCAATTCTGGGAAAGGCAGCGGGCGGCTCCCAGTCCCACCAGAGTCTCAGGCTTGGGAGGAGCCCGACGCCGCGGCGAGGGAGGCCCGCAGTGCCCGCGGCGTGGGGCTCCGGGTCCCCGGCTCCGGGCTCGCGAGGGCCCCGCCGCCCCCAACGCCTGTCGCCACCGACCCCTCCCCGGCGGGCCTTTCAACCTCTCCCGGGAGCCACACGGGACAGGGTAGCATCCGCGGGCTCCCGACGTTTTGGATTCACCTTGCCTCTGCCCCGAGGGGCCCAGGATGGGGGATGGGGGTCGTCTTAGAGATCAATAAATAAAATGACGTTGCCACCGAGCTGGGGGGGGAGGGGGCCCCGGAGAGCGGGCGGCGGCCCGAGAAGACTTCCCGGACTCAAAGGCTTGGGAGAGGAGCTCCACAGGCGGAAGCCTGTGCGCTCACGGCGGGCGAGGCCACCCTGTCCGAGGCCCCAAATCCGGGCTGTTTCCCGACCCCCGCCCTCATCCGAGACCGCTAGGAACCGCCGCTTCCCAGAATGGGGGACCTGCCTCCCTCGAGGCCCAGAATTGGAGGCGGAGGCTGTGTCTCCGCGGGTGTAGTTCTCTGAGGGCCCGCGACCCTCGGCCCCAACCCCAGGGCCACCGCGGGTGCCTCACCCTTCCTGGTCATTCAATGGACACAGCCCCAGAGCCCGCTCAGAACCGCAGCCCGAGTTCCGCAGACGCGAGCTGCGCGTGCCCGGCGGGAGGCTGGGGCGGGGCCAGCGGACCCTCCCCCGCCTCAATTGGCTGCGGGGCGTGGCCACGGGCCGGAAGCCACGCAGGGCCACGTCTGCGGGCTACGGGAGCTGGTGACTGGCGTTGCCGCTGGGAGCCTGTCGGCGCGGTGGAAGGGAAGGGGAGTCTCCTGGCAGAGGTGAGCGGGCCCCCGGGCCTGGGGCGAGAAGGGGGCGTTGCGGCGGCAGGGGGTCGGGAGAAGCCGGGCGGGCCAGCAGGCAGGCTAGCGACCGGCTGACGGACCGCGCGCCTGACACGCCTTCAGGCCACTGCACTTCGGGGGCGGGCTGATGGGGCCGGCCCGAGGGTCTCGTGCTGGGCTCCGGTCCACCGACCTGTGGGGATCTCGTGCTGTGCCAGGAGTCGTGCGGTGATTGATAGAGGAACCAAGGAGGTCTGAAGATTGAATGGAGAGAAGGAGCATACTCAAACTTTTTAAGAGTGGACACTGTTTAGACTTGGCAAATATACTTTTAATAAAAGCATTCGCATACCCATTGAAAGTAGCTTTAGGACCTAAAACGCATCAAAGGGTGATAGCAGGTTATCCTGATTTTTTTTTTTATACTTTCTGGATTTAATAGGACAGGACTGGTTGACACCCTTATGAATAATCATGATACATTACTCACTGGTCAGTTCTGTATTCATCCCTGTGAAAGAGATTTGCTCACTTTAGCCTGAACTAAATTAGTTTGTTGAATGCCAGCTTTTTCCAACTGGACAAAAGCAAACATTTTTCACCATTTTCTTTAATTTTTGTTCATTGAAGCAGTGAAGGACAATAAATTAAAATTGTAAGGCCAGTAAATGTGGGACTGCTTTCTCATCTCTGGGCTAATTGGGAATTAATTGACCCAGGAAATGCATAGTATGTGGGCCGCTGAGAGTACACAGCTGACGGAGGTCAGAAACCTCAAGTTGCAGTTTATTGGAGTATCCCAGAAAACGGAGTATTAGTGAGCTAAGGGCTGATGTTTGAGTTCTAAAATTAAACGTAAAAGGTGGCATTCCTTAGGAAGAAGATATTGCTGGTTTCAGAGCTTAATTTAGAAGATTCTCCTGATCTCCTTATGAAGGTGGGAAAAGATTTGAGCAGGTGTGGAAGCGAAACTGTTGCCCTTTGCTTATCCTTTTTGGGACTATGTCTCTAGTACAGCCTGGGAGAAATAGCAAAAGAACCATGCAGATTTCCCAGATATTGGGAAGTATATAGTCCCAGTCCACTCAAGAATTTGCCTTTAGGGCCTAGCCCCATGGCTCATGCCTGTAATCCCAGTGTTTCAGGAGGCAGGAGGATTGCTTGAGGCCAGGAGTTGAAACCAGCCCGGGCAACATAATGGTATCCTGTGTCTACAAAAAAATAAAAATAAAAGAAGTAGCCAGGTGTGGTGGTGCGCACCTATAGTCCCAGCTACTCGGGAGGCTGAGGCAGGAGGATCGCTTGTGCCCAGGAGTTCGAGTTTACGCTGCAAGCTATGAGAATGCCACTGTACTCTAGCCTGGGTGATGCAGTGAGACCCTGTCTCTAAAAAAAAAAAAAAAAAAAAATTGAAGAATCTGACCTTCAGCCTCAGCCCATCACTGGCTACCAAACGTTAACTTAGTTTTCCCTTTTGTAAAATGAGATGATCTTTGATCCCATGGAAGTCTCTGAATGTAGGTATAAAATCTTCATTTTAGTTTGAGAGTGGACCATTTTAAGTTCACCCTGGGTTCAGGAATAGTCCTGGAGTTAAAATGGGGGATGCGCTGGGGACAATCTGATTTCTGCCCAGGAGCAGACAATACACATTGGGCAGGATCTTGTAGGTAATTCTAACCCACAGGACTTATTCTACTGCTCTTTGCTCTCTCAAACATAGGATTCTTTGGGGGGATTCAGAATGAAGCAGACCTATTAGTTTGGAATGGTAGTTTTTGAAGCAAATGGTTCTTGAAAGATTTTTTGTGTTATGCCTGAAAAAAATGTTTCTTAATATTGTAGACATGGATTTAGGTGCTGTTACAAAGCACTCAGCATCACATGCCAAGCCCAATGGACTCATTCTTCAATATGGGACTGCTGGATTTCGAACTAAGGCAGAACATCTTGATCACGTCATGTTTCGCATGGGATTATTAGCTGTCCTGAGGTCAAAACAAACAAAATCCACAATAGGAGTCATGGTAACAGCATCCCACAATCCTGAGGTAATTCATTTAGTGCTCTGATAAAGAAAACCATATTACAAGACCAAACCCCGGTGTCTGAGCAGTTTGATCCAAAGTACAAATTCTAATTCTAGGAGTATGCCTTTTTACATTTATATGTGTCTTCAGCTTTGGAACAGCTTTTCAAGAGAGTGACTGTTTAGCTCATGACTCATTACAGGGTGTGGAGAGAATAAAATGAGACTGCCATTTTTTGGAGAGTATCCATATTGGAGAAATAACAGAATGTCCTTCCAAGTTAGTTGAATTGAGACAGTATCAGTAATTTAAAAATGTTGCCTCTCTTCATTTAGCAGTGATTAAAGACATTGGGGATGGGTGAGGGAAGGTTAAACATTTGAAAAGGCACATTTTGAGATTTTTTCAGACAGGTTTTTTTTATAGCTAGGTAATAGTTTCCTATTTGGAATGAACAGCCAAAGAGCTAGGTCCAGGGATCCCAAACTGAGCATTGGGCACAATATTGATGGGGCCGGATAGTTCTAGTTTTTGTGACAGTTAAGATTTTAATCAAAGTATTTGTCTTGACATAGTTATTTTTTCAGCTTTATTGAAGTTTAAGTGACAAAAACTGTATATATTCAAGTTGTACAGCATCATGTTTTGGTATATGTATACATTGTGAAATGATTACCACAAACGTGCCAATTAACGTCTATCACCTCACATTGTTACTTTTTTGTGTGTGGTAAGGATACTTAAAATCTACTCTCAACAAATTTTAAATATATAATATTAACGATAGTCACCATGCTGTATGTAAGTCTTCCAGAACTTACTCATCTTATAACTGCATATTTGTACCCTTTGATCAACATCTCCCTATATCCCTCACCTCCTAGCCTCTGGCAACCACCATTCTACTCTGTTTCTATGAGTTCCACTTTTTTAGATTCCACATATAGGTGAGCCTGCAGTATTTGTTTTTTAATGTGTGGCTTATTTCACTTAAAATGTTAGCTTCATCCATGTTATTGCAAATAGCAAGATTTTTTTTCTTTTTTAAGGGTGAATAATATCTCATTGTGTGTGTATACCACATTTTCTTCATCCATTCATCCGTTGATGGACACTTAGGTTGTATCTTTAGCTTGGTAACCTTTTGACACAGCATAACTATTCTGAATTGCCTTTAGCCCACAAATACAGTGTTTGAATAATATGCTTCTATTTGATTGCTAGGGCATGAGATTTTTGCCTTTGTAGCTCAATCAGCAGCAAGTTAAAGCTGTGTAGGTCAGTGAAGGATTGTAATCCAAACAAGGACATTGCCTGTCCAACTTCTACATGTGTGATCACTGTAAATATGTAAATGTCTAAATGTATTAGTTGCCATAATTGATTGATGACTTGTAGGAAGAGCCCCACGTTTATTGCTAGTTCCAGAAACACTTCCCAGAACAATTCTGAGCTGTTTTTCTCAGTTGACATTCTCTGAACAACATTTTATTTCTTTCCAGGAATTTGAGCAGAACAGAGTTGGGAGTCAGTTTTTAATTTCCGTGCCACTCACTGTTTGACAGGCTGGCCAGTATGTTCTTGGAGTCCTGAGTCATAGTGAGAAGAATCTCTAGGTACCCTCATTCTGCTCCAGTTGTGCCCTAGTCAGTCATTAATAGTGAATACACTGATAGCAGCCTTTTGAAAAAGCTAGTGTGGCATAGTGGTTGGTTAGGTTTAAGAATCAGACTTGAAGTTGTAATATTAGCACTGACACTATTAGCTGTATGATGATAAGCAAAATTACCAAACCTCTCTGAATCTCAGTTTTCTCCAAGTAAGATTGGCATAACAATAGGATTATTAGATCAATATGGATGTCATGAGGATTTAGTGAGGTAATATATAAAAAAAAAACACCTAGGCCAGGGTCTGGCATTAATATTAGGTGGTAACCATTCAAACTACTCAGCCATCACTGTCTTTTGTTGGGGGAAAAACATACACTAATTCTATCTCCTCAGCTCGCCCTCATGCATATGCATAGGTTGCTTATCGTTTGCTTTTCTTTTAAGGAAGACAATGGTGTCAAATTGGTTGACCCTTTGGGTGAAATGTTGGCACCATCCTGGGAGGAACATGCTACGTGTTTGGCAAATGCTGAGGAACAGGACATACAGAGAGTGCTTATTGACATCAGCAAGAAAGAAGCTGTGAATCTGCAACAAGATGCCTTCGTAGTTATTGGTAGAGATACCAGGTAACGACAAGAGTTACTGATGGAAACAGCTTTGGGAGTGTGATAAATGATTGCACCAGTTTTAATACCCAAGACAGATGCAAAGAATTAAGTAAAGTGGAATTGCCCCGAGTGTGGCAATTCTTCACCTACCTGGCCTTTTTAGTAGGAGGTAGAAGCTAAGTCACTACTGCAGCTTGGGTTTTTTTTTTTTTTTTGGAGACAGAGTCTCACTCTGTTGCCTGGGCTAGAGTGCCGTGGCATCAGCCTAGCTCACAGCAACCTCAAACTCCTGGGCTCAGGTGATCCTCCTGCCTCAGCCTCCCGAGTAGCTGGGAGGACAGGCATGTGTCACCACACCTGGCTAATTTTTTTTTTTCTATTTTTAGTTGCCCAGCTAATTTTTTCTATTTTTAATAGAGATGGGGTCTCGCTCTTGCTCAGGCTGGTCTCGAACTCCTGAGCTCAAGCGATCCCCCCCACCTCAGCCTCCCAGAGTGCTAGGATTATAGGCATGAGCCACTGCGCCTGGTCTTGGAGCTTGGGTTTTAGAGTCCAACTTGGATTTGAACTTCAATTCTAACACTTAAATGACAGTGGCAGGTTACTTAACTTTTTGGAGCTGCCATTTCCTCATCTATAAAATGTTAATGATAAAGCCTATCACAGGGTGTTTGTGAGGATTAAATGAAATTATATATGCAAAATAGTTATTTCCTAGCAGAAGAGAAGCACTTAATAAATGTCTCCCACCTTCTTCCTGTAGGCGTATTTTTTTTTCCTACGAAGTCAGAACACATGATTTTAACTCATTATTTTAAAGATTTACTTTATAATTTGTGTTACTATTGGTTCGAATATTTATATTATTTTCCCATGCTGGAGTTCACTGGAAAACAACAATCTGTATTATTTTCTGCATATTTGTCATATTTTGCAGCTTTATGAAACATGTATTTTTGTAAAATGTTATATTAAAAGTGTATCTTGAAACAGTAGGATTCTTTTTTGCATAAAATCTAGTTTTATCCAGAGATTCTTTCAAAAGGAAGTTTCTACTTGATCTCCTAATGGCTCAGACTGTTTTATTTTTAACCCTCTATTGTGTTTCCAGAGGGTCTTCCAAATACCGCTGATCGTAGGTTTATAGGTAGCAGAACTGGTTAAGTGACTTATATTTTGAAGTAAATTATCCCACAGTAAAGCCATCTGGCATGTATTTGGATCTTACCTGTTAACTAATTTAAATTATAAAACATGTTTTTCTTCAAGGCAGTTTTATAATGACCTTTATTTTCATGTAGATAAATAATTTGTTCTGGCTTTATAAAATGGGAAATAGGTTCTGTATCCTTGGTGGTTTAATAGCCGGTACTCTATATGCACACTGTGTGCTTTCGGTATTTATTTTTACTGCTCTTAAACAGCACATATGTTGCTATGGTCAAATTTGGAAAGGTGTTTGGATATGGTGTATCCTTTTAGGGTATTCTTTATATATATTTTCTAAATTCATTTAAAAGGTGAAGTCTTTCTAGGAAAAATAAGATTGTGAAAGGCTACTGGAAAATGCTTATAACTTACCAGTATCTTTTCAGAGTTGATAGCTTTCAGTTCAGATACAATGAATTTATTATTTTGAAATTTATAGCACATAATTTCTGCATTTGCTTGCAGAACCAGCAACTCTGTTCATTTGAGGATGGGATATATTTTCTTCCTTTTCTTTCCTAGGCCCAGCAGTGAGAAACTTTCGCAATCTGTAATAGATGGCGTGACTGTTTTAGGAGGTCAATTCCATGGTATGTAGTTGTCCTGAGTTGTAAATTAATCCTGAAAAAACTTTTTAAGATTACAAAAGGCAAATTGGTACTAACTGATGAACACTAGGGTGCTCACATGGCAGTAATATTCTCCAGGGATTAAGGGGATGGCGGGGGTAAACTCACAACTAAAGGACACGGGGAGCATTGTAGAGGGGAAGGGCACACCTCTAACCCTCACTTGGGTAAGGCAAAGATGTAAAATGTAACCAATAATGTTTGTACCCTCATAATACCCTGAAATAAAATAAAATAAAATAAAAGATTACGAAAGAAATGTTTATGTATGTAGAAAAGTTTGAAAATATAGGTGAACAAAGAGTGTTTCAAAAATGAGTTCTTAGATACAAAATACTGACTTTTAAAATGATCTTCCAGATTGTTTCTAGGCAGGCATATTTTGTTTTACCTATGGGAGTCCTACAGGAGATGATAGGTAGGAAACGCTGATCTGATACAACTTTTTCTACCTTAGTAAAGAATTTCTTGAAATAAAAACCTTTGAAGTTACTTGAAGATGTTCATTTTGGGGAACTTTTGTCAATATTAGGTATTCCCTAATAGCTGCTCAGGTGTGGAATCAGCTGTAACCTGGCAAATAGTGATGAAAACTATCTGGCCTACGTGTAATCATGGTTTTAGGTTTGGACAGGTGCTTCCTGTTTTATCAAATGAGAGAGAATTAAATGCAACAAAATGGAGGCTAGGATCCTTTTCTCAGGTACGTCGTGCTGTTGTGAAGGTCGTGGCTCCCTGTGCGTTGAGGTGAATATTTTCCTGGTGTGAGATCTTTCTCATTAAAACAAAAATCCTCTCCTGACCTTTGAAACGTCTTCTCCACTCCACTGTTTTCCGTTCCTTCACAGTTAATCAGGCCTCATCTAAGAGCTGGCTCTGCTCACCTTCTGTTTCCTCATTTTCTAGTCATTCTTCAGCCTTCTGCAGGTGAGTGTCTAGCCTCCCCTCTCCTTGAAATAAACGTCTCCCCCACACTCATCTGCGTTCTGATCGCCAAGTCTGGTGACTGTTGTAAAGTGGGGACTCTTAACCTAGGGCCCAGGAACCCTGTGGAGTGTTTGGTTAAGCTGCAGGCACCCTGTGGCCCTCTGGATACAGTGTGCAGAGTGTTGGAGTGTTATCTACGCAGCTAGTATTTTTCTAGGGGGAGGATACATAGCTTTCGTCAGATACTCCAAGGGATCTGTGACCTAAAAATAACTTTAAGAACTTATGCTTTAAAGTTTTTATTTCAGTTGACATCTTTTTGTAGCTTTCGACACTGTTAAAACTCTTTCTTTAAGCTTCTGCTAGCTTCTACTCTTCCTTACTGGCCTTTGCTGGCTCCTCTTCTGTTTCTTGATAAGGGCATTCCTCAGTTCTGTCTTTCATTCTACATGATTTCTGAATGGTCATCTCTACTGCCAATTCTCCAGATACTTTTTTTCATTCATTTTATTAATTCATTAAACATTTTTGACTACCTATTATGTACACTCCTCCAGCAGTCTGTTTTGTTTCACTGTGTATCCCAACCCATGGTAAGAAGCCCATTTTGTGTCATGGCCTGTGCATATGTGCTTGTGTGTATAACTAAAACAAGTAGTTTAAGTAAAGCAGGGCTCACCCATACTGCCAGATGGGCACTCATCCATTTAAGAGGCAGAAATGCTGGTTGTGTCTCACTAAGTAGATTCCATGACCCACTGACTGCAATGTGTGACACACTGGTCTGAGTGATGTCTACCCTTAGGTCGCCTGCCCAAAATTGTATTCTTTCCCCGGAACGATTGACCTTTTCAGCTTTCTCATTTTATCTCTAGAACCAGCACTCTTCTAGTGTTTTAGTCTAGAAAAATTTGAGAGTAATTTTTTTAACCTTTCCCTCATTTCTCTCTTCAGCTTAGTGTGCTTCAGGAAATGAAGGAAGGTTAATATGGCTGCAAGGGAGCGTGGGGAAGCTGGTAAAGCATCTTAGGGAGGTAAGCAAGGATTGGGGTTCTAGTCCAGATGCAGTGGGACTCCACTGAAGGATTTTGTTCAGGAGAGTAATATTATGTTTTCATTTTAAACCATTCACTCTGGCTGTTGTGTAGAGAAGGGAAAGGAAGGTTTTAAGAAAGGAAAAGAGACTATCTAGACCACTATTGCATATTCATTAGTTTATGCAAGAGGGATGATACCAAGCGAAATGAAAATAATTAAAATTTATATTGAATTCAAAGGCTTTTGTGTGATGTGAGAGTGTATCTTTGAAGAACAAATACCAAGTTTTTGGGTTGATCAGTTGAATAGATGCTGATGCTTTTTATTGAGTGTGTGTAATAGTCATTTAGTAAATGTTTATTTGATAATTTTGATATTGGTCACAAAATCCTTTTGTTTTCTCCTTTAGCAAGCCTTTTGGAATAGTAGTTTGCTTTTCTTAAACACTTCCTTTAAACTAGTCTAAGCTCTCATCCACCTTTTTTTGAGCCCCTCCCCCCACCTCATCCTTATACTAGAGCCAACGTTGCCTTCATAACCATTTCTGTTGTATAACTGCAGGGCTTAAGAACTTAAAATGACTCCTTTTTTTTGCCTCCAGTCCAAGTTCTTGTGTTTGAGTTTCAAGTCCATTGACAGATGTAGTCACTGAATATTTACTTATTGGATACTGGTCCATCTCTGCTATCCATTTTTCATTATTTCTTACTCATGGTGCCTTTCTTGTGTATTTAGCTATGTTTGTAAGCTGTTTGGTTTTTATGGAAGATTATTTGTGGGTTTTTTTTTTGAGGTTTGTGATGAAGTATGAAGGTACATTTCTGTGGCAAAGTTTAGTGTTTGATTTGCTGGGTACCTGGGGCACTACTTGGCTGGGTCCACTTTAAATTAGTTTATGACAAGGTCATTTTACACCCCTGTGGTTATGTATGTTTGGGCTGGAAATCCATGCAAGGGCCCGTGCTTGTGGTGCCAGCTCTTCGGGAATGGCTTTTCCCCTTTGCTTTGCTCAATGCCAAGACAGCTGTCCTGGGAGTGGTGACTTGGGGTGAATCAGAACCCTTGCACTGAAGATATAGTCCTTTGTGGTTGTTTCAACTTCATGAGGGCCTGGTCTTCTACTGGGTTCCACATCTTAGACCAGCGTGGACTTTTTTACACTGAAAACTGTGGCTCAATTTCTACTTTAGAGGAATGTCCTCACAGCAAAACTGGCTTCCCTTAGCTCAGATCTTGGAGTTCCTGCCTTCCCATAGATTTTGGGCTGAAAATTCTGTAACTTGTCGGCGCTGCAGTTCTTTTTAGAAAGATTTTTCTCTTTCATCTAGAATTTTGGTGGTTTTTCAGGAGGATGATTCATCTGACTTACGTAGTTTGCAATGTTACTGGAAACAGCATTCAATTATTACTTTTCTATTTTGCTTTGTATTTCCATTCTTACCTGTCTGTACTAAATGATTATTTTTGCTAGTAGTAGTTAATATTTTAGAATTGAGTATGTGACATGTAGTTGTGATGATTTCAATATATATGTATCTGGATAGTTTGAAAGTTAGCATTTTTGTGTTTTCTGAAATGTCTGAGATGATAAACAGAGGATTTGTCACCCCGAAATTCCTACAGTATGAATGCATTTAAACTTTTTATTAAGAAATGTCGTGAATTGCTTTTTGTGTTTCTATGACAGATTATGGCTTGTTAACAACACCCCAGCTGCACTACATGGTGTATTGTCGAAACACCAGTGGCCGATATGGAAAGGCAACCACAGAAGGTTACTACCAGAAACTCTCTAAGGCTTTTTTGGAACTTACCAAACAGGTGAAAAATCTCTTAAACATGGTTAGAAGTTCAAACAAATGAATAAAGTAGCAATGATAAGTTGAATAATTTATCTTAGATAGTTTGTCACTCCTCCTCTTTCCTTTTCCAAAAATGTAGCATATCTCCTTTTTCTCTCTAGGGCTCCAGGTGCAAGGTTGTGGTCTGTGTATGCTGCTAACTGCATGTTGGCATTTACTTGGCAAGGCACATGGTACATTCTGAGATCACTGGGGGAGAAACCACGGCGGGGGTCTTGCTTAGGGTATCAAGTATTCAGATGAATTTGGTCTTAGAGTTAACGTAGGTGCTGTTGATTTAGTACTTGAGACATCTGTGGTTGAGAAGGATTTTCTTCTAGGTATATTGGGTTGTTAAACCTGGAGAGAATTGAGGCATATAATTCATTCGATCAGCAAACATTGAGTGTATGTCATTGCCAGGCATATTTAACCAGAACAAAGCCCTTGCTGTCATCAAACTTGTATTTTGGGTGAGGATGGGTGGGAGAGGAAACTGACAATTAGGAAAAACCCAGATTTCCCTGGTGATGTTATATGCTATGCAGAGAATGACACATGCCGTTACTGCTCATTTGTATGCTCTTCCCACATTTGAATGGCTGCCATGTAGTATAGACTGTACTATTACTTTTAAGGGACCCTGCTTAATTGAGGCTAAGTTCTAATAAAGCTCTATTTTCATAAGTTGCTCAAAGAGTGAAACTGTTCCAGTGTCTGAGGTGTTTTTAAATTTTACTTTAGTGTTTTATAATTCTAAAAATTGTTTTAAACAGACGAGTTAGCTGAAGTAAAAGAAGATGTTTACATATATACACATAAGTGTATAGCTTTATATTTCACTTTTACATTTATAACTTGAAATTTTCCTTCCATATGTCTTTTTCCTTTGAAGGCTTCCTGCAGTGGAGATGAATATAGATCACTTAAGGTCGACTGTGCAAATGGCATAGGGGCCCTGAAGCTAAGAGAAATGGAACACTACTTCTCACAGGGGCTGTCAGTTCAGCTGTTTAATGATGGGACCAAAGGCAAACTCAATCATTTATGTGGGGCTGACTTTGTGAAGAGTCATCAGAAACCTCCGCAGGGTATGTAGTACTAGCACTGTAAACATTTGTTTTCACAGCCCTTGGAAGGCAATCTCACTTACAAGTTGAGGTGGCCACATGAGCTAAGAATCATGCAGCTAGTCCTGGCTCTGCAACATTTAGACATTTAGGAATCTTGCCACTTGTGAGGGCCATTTAAAACATGGTATGTTCTCTGTGCCTGTGAGTCACACCACTCTTCATAGTGTGTAGGAAGTCGGGTGGGGAAAGCAAAATCAGAAAGTGGCATTCTAGAGCAATGGTTCTCAGACTGTAGCATGCATCTGAATCACCTGGAGAGTTTATTAGCACACAGATTCCTGGGTCCACTCGGAGTTTCTCATTCTGGAGGCCAGAGGTAGGATTTGCATAGGATAGAAATTTGCATTTGTCAAGGCCAGTTTGTTGATGGTGCTAATCTGAGGATAACTCTTTGAGAACCACTGATCTAAAGGATAGCAAATAACAGCATTTTTAGATACCTTATCTGAATTAGATACACTGTGGAAAAGGAACGTAACTCATGTACTTGTCAGCAGAATCAGTGTTTTCCATGCTGGGAAGATAAAGAGGAGGACTGTTCTTCAGATTTTAGTAGTATTAAGAGGTATTGTGCATTTGTCTGCATTACAGATCTTAAATTATTAGCCTGTGGACCAAACCCAGCTTGATGTGCTTTGTTTGGTCTGCTATGTGTGTGTGTTTCTGTGCCACTGTTTAAAAATTCTGTGATTTCTCTTATGTATCGGAATCTCTGGCATCTTTTAACCAAAGTCAGAAAATGTCTGTTCACACATGGCATTAATCTGCTGCAGTCAAATAGCTGCCACCTCCTTTAATCAGGACATTAATTCTGGAACTCTACAGAGTTCATCATCTAGTTGCCTCATTCATTCATGTTATTCTGGCTCACTGTGGTAAGCATTTAACATTTCAGTGTATTCAACCAATCTGAGACCCTTTTCACTGAATTGCTTGTTTTGACATTTACTTTACTGACAGTTCAGTTCCATGTCGCTCATTTATCCATTCACTAAATACTGCTGTAAGGCACTTAGACTACAGTATGAATAAAACCACAGCCCTCGCTTTCCTGAAGCTTGCTTTGTGTCCGTTAGTCAACCTCATGATCATTTTCCCAACAAAAGCCTTTCACTTGTTAGTTGCCTCATGTTGGATTTGTCCTCTGCCGCTGTCACAGCTAAAGAACAGCCAGATTTTCTAATAAATTCAATACAGCAGTTGCTGAGGTGTCAGTAACCCTATGCAAATTTCACAAACCAGTTCTCTCTCATGGGTTATAATTGTTCGCTCTTAATTTACCAGTGTTTCTTGGGTTGGAAGTGTGGACAAATAAAAATCACTTCTATTAGAATTAAAGCACATACCTCATCTAGTGCTGATTATTTTTTATATTATATGTGAAGGGGTTCACAGTACTAGGTAACTTGCGTCCAGAAATCTCTGTACCTTTCAAAGAAAACTGTATGGAAAAACCTCTCTAGCCAAACCAACTGGCTTATAAAGTGGAATTTTATTTTAGTATTATAGTAAGTTTCAGCATAAATAGATTTTGAATGTTTTTCACTTTGCCATGAAAGAATTTGACCTATAAAAACCACCAATAAACTGTACACTATTTAAAGATTAAGACATTTATTTTCATTTGAAGGGATGATTTTAAGAGAAAAACCTCAAACTTTTTTATATTGAGTTTTATTCCCATTTCTTAGATTGAAGTGCATTTTAAATTGTCCTGTGTGCTAGGAATGGAAATGAAGTCCAATGAAAGATGCTGTTCCTTTGATGGAGATGCAGACAGAATTGTTTATTACTATCATGATGCAGATGGGCACTTTCATCTCGTAGATGGAGACAAGATAGCAACGTTAATTAGCAGTTTCCTTAAAGAGCTCCTGTTGGAGGTATGGTGGGGGGATTGGCTACCCTGTGAAATAAGACTTATTCATTTGAATGTAAGAAGGGTACAATTTATGAGAAATTCCTCACATTTGTGGCCAAAAAATTAAAAAAATAAAAAGTGGTGATTCCAGTTATTTCAACATTGGGGCATTTGGTTTTGGAACCTAAAGGTACTCTTCTTCCTTATACTGGCTAAGTTTTATGATTTGAAGATTTATGAAGTTTTGCTTTCCTCATAACTGACGCGTTAATGAGAGTTCTGTGATCACTCCCTGGAGTGTGAAATTCTAGTAGAAAATTTCATCATCTGAGAGATTCATTTCCTATGATTATGATAACTTAGTAATGTGAGAAATGTTTTGCTCTTTTATCTATCTATCTATCTATTTATCTATTTATTTAGAGACAGAGTCTAACTTTGTTGCCCAGGCTGGAGTGCCATAGTGTCAGCCTAGCTCACAGCAACCTCAAATTCCTGGGCTCAAGCGATCCTACTGCCTCAGTCTCCTGAGTAGCTGTGACTACAGGCATGTGCCACCATGCCCAGCTAATTTTCTCTATATATTTTTAGTTGTCCAGCTAATTTCTTTCTATTTTTAGTAGAGATGGGGTCTTGCTCTTGCTCAGGCTGGTCTCGAACTCCTGAGCTCAATCCTCCTGCCTCAGCCTCCGAAAGTGCTAGGATTACAGGCGTGAGCCACCACGCCCGGCCCTGTTTTGCTCTTTTAGAAATCTCTTTCAGGTTAGTTTTAAGTATAGGATGTAATTGGAAATAGAATCTGGAAAAGGTATATTTTAAGAATTCAATAAAGACTTTTATTAAAAAATTAAGGAGGTAAAGATTAGATCACAGCCTTCTTTAAAGAGGATTTCTTATAGATGTGCTTTAAATACTGCTCAGAAATATTTTAGGGGCTGGGCGTGGTGGCTCATACCTGTAATCTGAGTGCTTTGGAGAGGCCAAGGCAGGAGGATAACTTGAGGACAGGAGTTTAAGACCAGCCTGGGCAACACAGTGAGACTCTGTCTCTACAAAAAATAAAAAAAATTAGCCATGAGTGGTGGTGTGTGCCTGTAGTGCCAGCTACTCAGGAGGCTGAGGCAGGAGGATCAGTCGAGCCCAGGAGTTCAAGGCTGCAGTGAGCTCTGATCACACCACTGTACTCTGGCCTGGCTGGCAGAGTGAGACCTGGTCTCTTAAGAAAAAAAAAAGGTATACATCTACATTTTTAGTCAGTCATTTATTGCACAAACTAAGGTACAGGGCACTGCTGAAATGGCTGATAGTTTTGTTATCCTAAATTTAGAACTGATTAAATTTGCTTGTGTAGACTGTTCCTTTGATGTTAAGTATCAGTGTTTTTGTCTAGATTGGAGAAAGTTTGAATATTGGTGTTGTGCAAACTGCATATGCAAATGGAAGTTCAACACGTTACCTTGAAGAAGTTATGAAGGTATTGAACCATTTTCTTTTTCTGACAATTTGTTAATTGTAAGATGTTTCTGTGAGGAAAATATTGTCCTCATGAAAGTGAATATGCTGCAGCGCATGAAGCTGAGCCGTTGTCCATGTAAAGGGTAAAGAGAAATAAAAAATGTAATTGTCCTTGATATCCAGTGGGAGAGAGACTTCCCCTATCTTTTCTTAGAGCATTTCCTTTAGAAAACATGTAAATTATTTCTTTGTCCCTTTGTAATGAATGTAAATCTTCTTAAAGGCCACATAAGCCAGTTTTACAGCCGAAGAATATTTTTCTTTAGCCTAGAGTCACCATTTTTAAATATAAGTGTCAGGGAAGATAGCACCCCGGTCTCCCAGTCTCATGAGAGTTTAGATGTCTGGCTCCAGATTGTAACTATCTACTCGTAGAGGTATGAGAAACTTTATTACTCCTTTGGATAAAGGCAATTAGCTAACACAGATGGCTATCCCAATTACTAGATAAATTTAGGATAAACTGTGTGTCACAAATGGTGTTGTCAGGTCCTCTTATTTGAAGATTAGTGTTAAAGAAAAAATTACTCATGACACTGGTTAAAATGGCAAGGCAGACTTAGGACTGTGGTGATAGGTACAGGGACTAACGTGATGGGGTTTTGCGGAGGGGGAGAGAGGCTGGGCTCAACTCTGAATCCAGCAAGGAGAAGTGTGGTTTTACAGCCAAGAAGCAGGGTGTGTGTGGAGGGGTAGGAGTCAGTAGATGGAAAACTACTGAGAGGAAACATCATGGGAAGGGGAGTATATTTTGGCTAAACCGACCTAACAGCATTCTTGATGAAGGCAGGCCAGGGTGATCACATATCACCTGGGGGGTGGTGGAGGATGAGGACTTTGATGAGATATCAGGGGTGATCAGATATCAGGGTGAGAATTCTTGCTAAAATTGGGCTCTTGGAGGACATGCCCAAGGATGGGGCCTAGTTGGGCTCAGATGAGCCTGACTAAAGTTTGCTCAAGGAGAGAATCTTTGTCACTAGTTATCTTATATCTTGGGGACTTGTATGGAATGGAATGTATCTGCTTGACTATTTTAAATGGTGAGAGTTCTTTCTGTCTTTGCAATCTCTTAGTGCATTGCCTGTGATTGCGTCACAGTATAGCTTAAGCTTATTCAGTAATAAAACTGTTTTCTTACTCTCATTTTTTGTGGTGAGGTTTTCTGGGGTGGTAGGAGATTCTGTTTCTAGTTATTTTCCCAGTGTCCCCCAGATGACCACCCTTTGTACCACATAAACTGCTCTGAGAGTTAGGGGTTCATGGAAACAATTGGAAGTCCGTTTGCCTTTATTCTTTTTCTCACTAATTGGTGTAATATTTTTCCACTTTTATGTATCTTATTTCAAATTTTGGCTTTTTTTTTTTTTTTTAAAGCTAGTTTTTGTTACCTCTTCATTCTGTATAAAGCAGGAATTGCAAAGTCAGACTCCTGCAGGACTGGACAGGGAAAGTGAGTGAATGCACAGGTGGCCAAGGACTGGGCAGAGTGTGCCCAGGCCAGCCACTGTCCGCTCTAGTCAGATTCTTCAAGAGAAGCTGGAAATCTGAATTGTCATGTGAATTCCTACTTTTAAAAAAAGAAATAGCAGGTGGGCAAAACAACATATCTGGAGGTCGTTAGTTTTGAGACCTGATTTAAATATATGATTATAGTAACCTCATTCAAGGGACTCCATCTGGGGCCCAGTTGCCTGCCTTTCATAGGGATTGGTTATTTCACACTACTTGAGCTATTGTTTTAGTATTTTAATTCTTATTTTCTGTCTTAAAATTTTCTTATAGGTAAAATATGTTGTTTAAGAAACGAAGCATATCAGAGATGGTTACTTCTCAACCCACTCTCTTACAGATGAAATATTTTTAGCCCTTGCCATTCCTGAGGTCTCCTAAATCCAGTCAAATGCTGATCTTACTTGATGTCTCTTGTGCAGTTTTGCTCCTATCGGTCTTTCCTTAACCATTCTTAAATCTTGTACGGATACATCCATGACTTTCCCTACCCACTGTTGCTGGTCCAGTCACTGTAATTTACTAGGATTAGTCTTAGAAACCTCCCAACTGATCCCCTGTTTCTTAACCTCTAATACAGGTTTGCCACTGTTTGTAAATAAAGTTTTATTGGAATAGAGCCATGCTCATTTGATGATATATATAGTCTGTGGCTGCTTTCACACTACAAGGGTAGAATTAAGTAATTGTGGCAGAGACAATATGGCCCGAAAGCCTAAAATATTTCCCATCTGGCCCTTCACAGAAAAAGTTTGCAGACCTCTTCTCTAAGCCGTTCTCTACACTGTAGCTAAACTCAGCTTTCTAAAACCGATCATGTCATGCGCCCACTTGTACTCTCCCATGGCGGATAAGGAGACCCCTCCCCCCATCTCGCTCACTGGCTTTTTGCTTGGCTGTGAGCTTCCATAGTGCCTTCCCTACTCCATGGACACTGCCCATTTTGTATTTTAATACCTAATCATCTTCCTCATTGGGCTAAGCTCCAGTAAGTTTTACTACTTGTTATATACCTGAGATACCAAGTATATAATACAATAAACATTTGTCACCTGAGTAATTGCTGTTGTGTTTCTTTAAATGTGTTATAGGTACCTGTGTATTGCACTAAAACTGGTGTAAAACATTTACACCACAAGGCTCAAGAGTTTGACATTGGAGTTTATTTTGAAGCAAATGGGCATGGCACCGTAAGTTCTCTTACATAATTGCAGCTGCCTTGGCTGGCACTTTTATGATGGGAGTTCTGTGTCTGGGAGCTCATAGGTAGTACTCTACGTTGTTGAAATGATTGAATGGTGGTAAGATTCTTTGGTTAACTTACATATCCTCATGTGTCATAAAACTGTGGTTTTCTTTTAGATTGTAATGATTGTTCTTTGAATTTGAAGAGATGTATTTGTTCTCTTAATAATTTAGTGTTTTTAAAAAATATGCAGTTCTTAATTTTCTTTTAAGTAGATTGTCTCTGCATTTTCCTTCAACTGGCCGTTGGTGGGAAAAGGAAAACTTTAGTAGCTGTGGTAAATTGAAAAGCATTGGAAAGTTAAGAATTACTGTAAATGACTGGAAATGAGTTTAAAGTAATTAGTGATAAGCATACAAAGTTTTTTATGGCTTTCTTGGCAGACAGAATATTTTTAAAAATTTTGAGATATAATTTACATAATGTAAAATTCACATTTTATGTGTAATTAAGTGGTTTTTTGTAGATTCATGAAGTTTAGAAGTTTTAAAAAATGTTTTTATACTTCACCTCATTTCATAAGTGGATTTGAGGTGGCCAACAGAAAATTTGTATCTGGGCCAAATCATTTTTCTCATTAATTCAGTGTTGGCTTCTGGAGGACAGAAATATAAGAAGGGGAAAAATAATAAGTTCCTACAAAATGCAATTAAAATATAATTTCAGTGATCTAGTGGAGAGGTTGGTAAGTGATTTTTTAAAGAGCAGATGGTAAGTATTTTAGGCTTTTCAGGCCATAAGGTCTCCATTTCAACTGCTTGACTCTGCTGATATAGCAGAAATGAATGGGTATGGCTGTGTTCCAGTAAAACTTTATTTAGAAAAACAGGTAACCAAACCTGGCATGGTGGCTCATGCCTGTAATCCCAGTACTTTGGGAGGCTGAGGCAGGAGGATCGCTTGAGGCCAGGAGTTTGAGACCAGCCTGGGCAACATAGTGAGACCCTATCTCTACCAGGAAAAAAAAAATTAGCCAGGCATGGTGGTGCACACCTTTAGTCCCAGCTATTCTGGAAGCTGAGGCAGGAGGATCACTTGAGCCCAGGAATTCGAGGTTACAGTAAGCTATGATTGGGCCATTGTACTACAGTCTGAGTAATAGAGCAAGACCTTGTCTCAAAAAAAAAAAAAAAAGTGACCATCCTGCACTTTATATTATGAACAAAAATCAAAAATGTATTTCATTAAGTAGTTGAGCATAGCATGCTAATCCTCATCGGTGGTGGGCCTCTTGAGGGCAATAAAAAGATGGCTAAGGCATTTCCAAATGACATGATAATCTTGAGGAACATGATGTATATATATTGTAATAAATATCCATGACACCATTTGCCATACTTTGACAAATATGATAAACCCTCTTTCTAATTTTGCCTAGCTCATGGCTTTAAGTTTAGGACAATAAAATTGTACTAGTTGCGTTGAATTCTATCCTTCAAAGTAAAAAAGATACACAGTCTTAAGTAACCTGGTTGCACAGAACTGATTTAGCTGGCTAACAAGAAAACACAAACTCTTTATATGTATTCAACTATTGTCAAGGTGGTGTTTTCTTTGTAATCTGCTGTTTAAATGTTGATAACCAGTTACATAATCCACAAAGAAACTTTTTTCCCCTAGTAATATCCTTTGGGTTCTGATTTGATCTTGTATTAGTTTCATGCATTATAAGCCTGTCATTATTTTCCCCCTTGGTTTCTCCAGACTGATTAAGGGTAAAAGTGGTTTAGCTAGCATGATAGTACTTATGACTGGGGCTTGGATAGTGTTTTGAGATTGATTTTGTATGCTTTTGCTGCAGGCACTGTTTAGTACAACGGTTGAAATGAAGATAAAACAACTAGCAGAAGAATTAGAAGATAAGAAAAGAAAAGCTGCTAAGATGCTTGAAAACGTTATTGACTTGTTTAACCAGGTCAGAACTGATGGGGTGGGATTCTTGGTTACCTTTACATTATTCAGAAGGGGGAGAGAGCAGTGTGTACTGTATAAAAAATTAAAGTGGAGAAGTCCTGTCGGCTTCCTGGCAACAGTAGTATATTCGGTTGAGATTTACACTGAAATGGAAAGACAAAGTGTTTTTTATATGCTTCCCTTTACCTACATTTCATGATGAAGAATTTCAAGTATACGAAGTAGCCTAGAATCAACAAATGCAGCTACTGAGTATATACATTGTACCTTGCTAAGTATTTTTTTTAAACTACCCTTAAGGAAATTCATTAAAAATAAATGGTTGTCTCTTCGACAGAGGACGTGTATGTGTGGGTCATGTAGTAGTTGGGATTAAGTGTAGAGTGTGGCTGTGGAAAAGCAATACTCAGGGCAGAGAAAACCAATGGAACAAGTATTTGAGTGTCTTATACCTATTGGGCAGTTTATATGCCTTATCTTGAAATCCTTGTAGTAATAGAGGGGGAGGGGTTTATTTTAATTCCCATTTTATAAATGAAGAAACAAAAACTTAGAGCTACTCAATGGTAGTTTTGAGGTAGTTTGAGGTAGTTTTGAGTTTTATACCAAAGCTCATTTCTCCATTTTACCATGATGCTTTATCTCAAAAGGGATCTAGTTATAAAGAAACATTTGAGTCATGGAATGTTAGGCTGAGCCTTAGAGTTATCCAGTCTAATCTCATTTTATAGATGAGGAGGAGGATTAAACAAGTTTAAGAAGAGCTAGTTTCAATATCCTTTATATACTTTTCATTGTTGTCTTCCATGGATATCTTTACCTCATTACTGTTTGTATTTATCTACAAAAACACTCCAGTTAATGCTGCATGGGATCAAGGGGAAAGGGTGATAGGGAAGCTCAGGAGACAGTTGAGTATCCCTTATCCAAAAAGCTTGGGACCAGAAGTGTTTTGGATTCTGGATTTTTCTGAATTTTGGAATATTTGCATATACACAGTGAGATATCTTGAAATTCATTTGTGTTACGTATGCACCTTATACATATAGCCTGAAGATAATTTTATACAATTGTATTTTATTTTATTTTTTTGAGATAGGGTCTTGTTCTGTCACCCAGGCTGGAGTACAGTGGTGTGATCATAGCTCGCTGCAGCTTTGAGCTCCTGGGCTCAAGTGATCCTCCTAAGTAGTTGGGACTATAGGCACATGCCAACGTGCCCAGCTAATTTTTTGTTTGTTTGCTTGCTTAAGACATGGGGTCTCACTATGTTGCCCAGGCTAGTCTCCAACTCCTGGCCTCAAGCCATCCTCCCACCTTAGCCTCCCAAGTTGTTGGGATTATAGGCATGAGGCATGAGCCACCAGCCACCACATCCAGCAATTTTATATAGTAGTCTTAATTTTATGCATGAGACAGTGTTTGTGTACACTGAACCATCAGAAAGCAAAAATGTCACTGTGTGAGCCTCTCATGTGGACAATTTATGGTTGTTTGGTATCACCACCATTCCTGATTCTGAACTTACATGCTATAGATAGGCAAACATTTTCTTATATTTATTCATGCATATATGTACTTAATAATAACGAAAATATATACATATCTGGTATGCATGGGAAAAGATAGGTTGCAGCTGAAGGTGGCTGGATCTTTTTTCCCTTGGGGGCACTGAATAAACTATTGTGAGCCTGTTTTTTTGTGTTTCTTTTTTAAGAGATGAGGTCTTGTTATGTTGCCCAGGCTGGAGTATAGTGGCTACTCACAGGCACAATTCTAGCACACCACTACACCTTATACTCCTGGCCTCAAGCAGTGCTCCAACCTCAGCCACCCAAGTAGTTGGAACTACAGGCGCATGTCACAGAGTCTGGCTATCATGTGCCTACATTTTGACTGTGACCCGTCACAGGAGGTCACATCACGTGGAAATTTCCCCTTGGGGCATCATGCTGGCATTCAAAATGTTTTGGATTTGTGGATCAGGGATGTTCAACCTGTACTATGATTGGTTTTCTAAGACAGAACATTCATATCCAAGATTTGCTTATGTTAAGGGTGGTTTCTTCCATTTGTTTGCCCATCTTTCAGGCAGCTGGTGATGCTATTTCTGACATGCTGGTGATCGAGGCAATCTTGGCTCTGAAGGGCTTGACTGTGCAGCAGTGGGATGCTCTCTACGCAGATCTTCCAAACAGACAACTCAAAGTTAAGGTGTGAGAGGTTTTAAAATAACTTTTCTGAATATTAACTAAAGTGTATTATCCCATGTCTCACTGAAAATACTTCCTAAGCATGTCATATTTCATTTCATATATATACACACACAATATATAGAAAATAAGGCCTTATAGTATCAAGTATTTGGTTTCCAACTTTATTATGATATTAAGAATGACTCTATGTTTTTTTAAAAAAGGATTTTATTATGGAAAATTTAAAACATATAGAGAGAACAAAATAACGAACTGCTCTGTACCTAGCTTAAACAGATTTCAGCTATTGCCCTGCACATTCTCCATACCTCCCCCAATATTATTTTCAAGCAAAACCCAGATAGCCTTTTATTTCAAGTGAAAATATTTCCTCTACATTATTTTTGGTTCACAGAGTACTTCCTGAGGCTAGATGGTGAGAAGTGGGAGAAAATTTTTTTTTTAAAGGTATTTCAGATAAATTGCTGACTTCCATGCAAGTTTATACCAGTTTACATATTCACTAACAGAATTTGTGAAAGACATTTAGAGCTACTAAAGCCAGAGTTCAAAGGAATGGCTGCTGATTGATCAGATTAGTTCAGGAGATGCTTGTCACAGTCCTCTTATATAATAGGTATCCACTTCTATTATTTTAAATACCTAAAGTTATTTGATCAATGAACTACACTGGCGTCCATGGTATGATATAGAACTTAGTCATACAGTATGTATTGGCCATTATTTTAGTGCTAACTGTAAGACTATAGAAATATCTTTTTTTTGCTAAAGGTAATTCTTTATAGACTGAAGAAAAAGAGAAAAGTTGTACAAATATTAAAATTAATAACCCTGACCATGGAGAACTAAAACTTATGAAATTTTAATGCAGTTCATCTTATACTTAATCTGGTACTTTACTATTTCAGTGTTGTGCTTTGTGGTATAATAAGCTTAAATGTAGGTATGTTACTGTTAAAATGAAAGAGGGATAATCTTTGGTGGGCATTATGTTGAACAGGTTAAGCTTCTGAAAGAGAGTGTAATACAGTGACAAATGTGAAATGCTTGTGCTTAGGTTGCAGACAGGAGAGTTATTAGCACCACTGATGCGGAAAGACAGGCAGTTACACCCCCAGGACTACAGGAAGCTATCAATGACCTGGTGAAGAAGTACAAGCTTTCCCGAGCTTTTGTCCGGCCCTCTGGTACAGAAGATGTTGTCCGAGTATATGCAGAAGCCGACTCGCAAGTAAGCTGGGATAGTTCTATTGAAAAAGTGTGCAGTGAGTGTCTTAATAACATAGGTGATCGGGAGGAACTCTAGGAGAGAAAAGAAAAAATAGCGTTTGGAATCTCACTATGATAATTAACGGTTTATGTCTTTGAGATTTGTTTATAGAGACTTTGAGGTTCATATTAAGACTACAAAATTATTTTAATGAGTTAAATAGTTGAACAAAATTGGACCCACTTAGTATCCCCAAGTATTTTTCTTTTGATTTATTCTAGACTTCCTGAATTTCTGAGTCAGGAATAACTAATAAATACTTTGTACTGTGAAGTAGATTAATATAATCCTATGACTATGAAAACAGCCAGTTTTGTAGTCCATTTCTAAATCAACTGGTACCAGGCATCTTTGTCTCTGGACTCTCCATTTGTTTTTCATATATTTCCTATAAATGATAGCCTTACTCTGCCTCTGCTATTTTCCTGATAAGGACAAGACTTGTGGTCTAGAGTTTTATGATTTGCCCTCTTCACATACTCCTTAAAGTGTTTGTATAGCCAGGGCAAAGTGCTGAAATAGGGACTCAGAAGGATTAATTTATATAAGATGTGGCAGCTTTTTCAGAATCCAGTGAATGAATATCCCTGATGGAAGGAGAGTACAACCGAGGGTGTAAGAGTTACGCAATTGTGGCCTTCTTGCCTTTAAGGGAATAGGTTTAATTGAATTTATTTAGAGTTTTGGAATGATACCTAATTTTATAACCTGAATTAACTAAAAACTTACCTTATTTAAAAGAATTTGACCTGTTTTCCATTTATTTAAGGGCCTTGGAAATTTGTTACTGAAAGATGAAAAAAAGTTTTCATTTGAATATGTTAGTAAAAACAAAATCAGGAAGCAACTTTCCCCCTTCCTTAGAGTTGAAAGTAACGTACGGTTGATTCTTTGTCTCTCTCATTTCATCTCCTTTAATCTAACTTGCAGGAAAATGCAGATAGCCTAGCACATGAAGTAAGCTTGGCAGTATTTCAGCTGGCTGGAGGAATTGGAGAAAGACCCCAACCATGTTTCTGAAGATAATTTTTATATTCCTGAGAAACTGGATTGTTAAAATTTTTTTTTATAAAACTGTCAATAATTATAGCAATACTACGTTTATAATCATGTTTATAATGCATCTTACTGGATTGTTTCTAGATCTGATTGCTTTTCTTAAACACTACCAGAATAATTCTTTAGAAAGGCTTATTTGTTAAAGAAACTTACCTCTAATTTCAGTCTCACTAATGTAAAATATTGGGCTTAAGTATATGATTCAATCATTAACTTTTATGGCTGTGTGCAGGGAACAAGTCATGCAGGCTGCTGGAAAATTAAATCCTGTTAAACCAACTCCTTGTGATGTCTTTGCCATCACCATCATCTAAGCCAGATGTTGTTTTGCAGCATCCACCATTGTTGATACAAAAGGAGAGGGTGGAGAAGACATTATATAACCAATTTTTCCATTGCAGAGTCTTCAGAATGATAATTAGATGCCTTACCTGTCCAGTTAACACCAGCAGAAACTCAGAGGTGTGACTAGGGACGTTGTCCATCTCTCCTCCATACTGAGGTGGGGGTGCTCCTGCTGTACTTATGAGGACGGTGGTCCAGGCTTCAGTTATTCCTCACTCCTCTTAGTGAAGGTACATGGAAGGAAAACTAATTATAATACGTTACCCAGCCTCTGATGGAGAAGTGACACATTCTGATACCAGAATGTGGGTAATAAGGGAAGGAAAAAAATCCCCAACCAGTCTAAATTAAACGAAGCCTGAAACCAATAGAAAAAAATGTGCAGTGTGTATTTTGCAGGTTTACGACAACTCAGGACAATAAAAACAATGGACTATATATGTATATATAGCTCTCTCTTAGGCACCATAATCAATATGAGCCAACAATATTTAAACTTGATTCAGGCCACATTCAGACATTTGCTCTTATTTACAAATACTTAAATTAAATACAACCTGAAGTGTGTTTTGTTACATACGAAAAAAAAAAAAGGAAACTATACAACTCAGAGCAATGTGTTTGTTTTAAATAATTACATTTACATTTAAGCTAAATGGAACCACTGGTGGTGCTCAAGTTTTTATCACTCCTTCCAGAAAATCCTTTTCTACCATCTCTTCTATTTTTTGCCTGGCTTTGCTGGAAAATGGTTTGTGGTTCTCCAGTTTCATGTCCTTATTAGGGAAGACATTTGAGTAGAGGATAGGGCTCCCTGAGTGTCCTCCACATCGGCTTGTGACTTTGCTGTTGAAGACTTGGCTGAGCACGTTGAAGAAAGGCAGGAGCTGCTCCATGTTGCGCACGGTGCAGATGGTGAGCAGCAAGTGCCCCGGCTCCCAACCCAGCGTTCTCCCTGAGTTGTCTTCCTCTGGATTTTTCTGCAAAACAAAAAGGGAATTGTTATTAACAGATGATGTAGTATATTCGAAAAGTAAAAAAAGATGTAAACATCAGCAGTCAGGAAATGAATACAAATGATGGCATTAAGTCTCCATTCCAGACTTGTTTAAAACCCTTGTTTCTCATGAAGAGCCTTTAGTGCTAGTTATTAATTTTGTATAGAGAGGTCTAACACCATGGTAATATTTCCCAAGTAGAATGCACAGATAAGCTTAGCAGAAATGGTTTTGAAGAGGGAGAGTCGATTAAAAGTTCACGTTGTGCTTTGCATATACTCAAAAAGCTCCCAGATTTCTGGATTCTCACTAATGTAACCAAGTAGTATGTCACCAAATGACTACATAAGAAAGGAAGGGACAAAGAGCTTTATATGTTTTTCCATTAGCAAATCAGTTAATTCCCTTTTAGCCAATGGCCTGAACTTGCCACACGATGGTCGCGGGTCCATAGTGGATAATCATTGCCAGTACTGCAGCACAGAGAAAGGAGGATCCTTGAGGAGAGACTCTGCTATCTCCTGCTGGGCTGGGCTCTGCTAAACAACACGGGGAGGAAAGCTGGACCCAGAGTCCAAAGAACTGGGTTAGTGTATTGGCTCTGCCATTTATTTACTGTGTGGCATCCTTGGCAAGATACTCTTTAAGTGAGGGCAAAGGTTCCTCCCTTAGAAAATGGAAAAATCTGATCTCTGTATTTCAGTAGAGAAATCAAACAAGAATGTATGTGAAAACTGTTAACTAAATATAAACACAAATAAGAGGCTATTAAGAAGCTAACTGAATTACACAAACGCAACTACAAACGTCATTCTGTCTAGAGAGAGATGAGAGAAATACAGTTGAATCAGATACAACAACGCCCTAAATAAAGATAATGAAAATGAATAATGAACTGTATAGAAAAAGGAAAAAAAATCATTACGTGAGACTTAGAAAGCAAAATTACCACCTCTCATATTGATTAACAAATGGAGTTTGCCTTCTAAGATCACATGTTGAGAAACTTTCCTCGTTTAATAACTTAATATCACTAGTTTTCTAGTGGATAAAGCAGATATAAAATCCAGGTTGTTATTGTGTGTGCTCTCAAGATTTATCTGCTTATTTTAAAGTAAAATTCTGAGAAAAGAAAACAGATTCAAGTTAAAATGGAAGGCTCCAGGAACAAACAAGAAAAGATTACCTAGTTCTTTCTCTGGCCAAAAACAAAAAAAACCCAACAGCTATCACTTAATTTACTTCTTAGCAATTGTTTAACCTCTAATCTAGATTATAAGATACACAAAACCATCTTTTTTCTTAACTCTGACACTGGCTCTACTGAGAGTTCTGTGACTGACTTTCACATCACTACCATTACTCAAGAACTGGTTGATCATACCACCTCTCTAGTCCCTAAATCAAACTGCAATTCAGCGACAAAAGAGTGTACAGAGATGAATTTATCTTGAAGGAAAATGAAAACTATGCTTACACCCTCTATACAGCTAATTTCTAAATGTAAGAGAACTGTGATGTAAATCTTTCATTTACATTCCTGTCAAGATGTGCCATTAAGAGCGGGACTGGAACTAAGCCTTTGACCAAGAAGAATACACTTGTTTCAGTCTTTCTGCTGTTCATAATCAGAACTATACATATGTCCTCAGTATTAAATAAAATAAAGCCAAACATGTTTCCAAACAAACGATTTCTTCTTTGACTTTACCAAACTACACTTGAAGAAAGACTTCCTTTCTGTTTACCTCTCTTGTACTTGTTGAAACCCAGAATTGGATTTGTGTCTCAATATTTGGTCCAAATGTGGCAACTTTTGCTGCCAGATCACAAGCATCAAACAGCCACCCTCACCTGATGCTTGGCCATCTCCAATCCCTCCAAAATCATTGTCTTAAAGTCCTCCTCCTTGTCCTGTGGAAGGAAAGAGGAGAACTCATATCCTTTGTTCCAGTGAAAAGTATGCTTGGCCGTGAAGACCTTGTTTAAAAGTGATTTGGATGGAAGGATGCCTTCCAATCAGAATAGCTTTCTTATTGTGTGGGACAAGTGTTGGGCAAAAGATTGTTATATTTATCCTTTAGATAAAGGAGGGGTCTTATAAAAACTCTCATTACTAATGAGATGCAGGAATAATGGAAAGGACCTGCGTCTAGGGTCGTTTATAATTGCATTGCTTCTGGATTTGTTGTCATGATTATTTTTCTAAACCCTGGGATATCAAAGTGAAAGTACCTAACTCCTATCCCTAAACTCTGGACCCAACTTTAATCTTCATCTCTGTCTTTTTATTTACCCTCTACAGAAGCAACTAGGATTTAAAAAAATTAAGTTCCTTATGTAAATTCCTTCACGTAAAACCTCCTTTTTAATCACTTTCCTCCATTCCATTTCTGTATTTGTGGATTTCAGTTTAAGAGCCGCACCTGAGTAGGGGACTCCAGAAGACTGGAAAATTTCTGAGCACTCAAAGCACATACTGCAAACTAGGTCTTGCAAAACAACCTAGATCATGCCCAAATTGTACAAATTATTTTTGAAATTTTTTGGATGACAAAAGATTAATAACAAAGGCCCAGTGATGACTATGCCAGTTTCATTACTTTTATGTTCTTGGGCAAAGATCTGCAATAAATTACTCTGATGCATACTGAAAGATAAATTACATAAGACACAGTATAAATATATTTTACATATCTTATTTTCTTACACTTTATTTATGGTATATGTTTTAAGTTAATTCCCACTTTTCCTCTTGAGGAATATTCTCTAAGTAGATGCTTTATGTTAATGAGTCCCTTCACTACCTTTCTAATGGAGACAGATTAATTTTGAGTAGTGTTTTAAAAACTGCAGGGTAGGGGGTGGGATCTTGAAATATGTTTAAATGGGACATAATCAGCATCAACAATAGGAACTATAGAGAAGAACAATAGGAACTATAGAAAAGAAAATACCTTGTGTGCTAAGGGCAAGTATTTTTTTTGTGAAAAATTTATATTCTGTTACATAGCTGTCCTGGGTTAGGATGTGTAATCCATTTCTTACTGTAGGTCATCATCAAAAAAAGCTAAAAACGTTGACTTCGCAGAACTAATTCATTTTCATTCTTAGAAAATGAATTTTTTTTTTTTTTTTAAGAGATGGGGTCTTACTCCACCATGGAGTGCAGGGCCACGATCCTAGCTCATTGATCCTCGAACACCTGGGCTCAAGCAATCCTCCTGGCTCTGTGTCCTCAGTACTTGGACTACAGGCATGTGCTACCATGGCCAGCTAATTTTTTCTATTTTTTTTTTTTTTTGTATGTGTGAGCTGGGTTCTCTCTGTGGTGCCCAGGCTGGTCTCCAACTCCTGGTCTCTTAATAATCCTTGTGCCTCAGCCTCCTGAGTACTGGGATTACAGGCATGAGACACCACACCTGGCTAAAATAGAATTTTTAGCATAAATATTTCACTTCATATAGACCAATGGAATGAATGCTAATGGTTACTCTCTTTATTATTCTGATTGAGGTCTAGCTAATTCAGTTGATGAAATATGATAATTTCTAACAATTTAAAATGTATAATCTCACCCATTGATTAGTTCTGTTAAAAACAAATCTAACATATTTTTTCTAATAATCTTTGGATATTGAATTTTTCTCAGTCAACTCACATTTTCCTGTTTCTCATCATGGCATTAAGATGAATATTATAGGTGTTTATGACACTATTTAGGACTACAGTGTTAAGTACTTACATGCATGGTTCCAAGGTTTTTATTTTTTTTGAGGAGAAAATATTTTAAGGTAGATGTTATTAATGTACAAAAGACTCCTTTTTCTTCTCTTTTAAAAAATTAATATAATAACCAAATATTCCTTTAAAATACAATGTATTTTCAAAATGTCTGGGAATATTAGGCTTATGGACATTAATTCTAAAAACTAGGGACTTGTTTTCAAAATAGCTCAACTTGATAATGTCTTCAGTTTCCCAGGAATTATTTAATAAACAATTCACTAATGTAACATGTGGTTACATAAAACCAAAACAAACCAAAGAGTACAGTACCTTTGCCCTTTTCCGAAGAAGTTTTGCCAGTCGTACCACATAAGGTTTAAATTCTCGTTGATGTATGCCCTGCCTTCTGACTTCCAAACCTGAATCATCTGAGGCTTCTGGAATAAAGGCCCATCGGTACCTATGTATCAAAGAATGATATCAACATCAGTGTGACAAACTTTGTGCCACCTAAGATGAGGCATAATGTAGTAGAAAGATCATGACCCCACTACTTAAAAGATTCAAATGCCAGCTGTGCCACTTTTAGCTTTGTCACCTTTGGTATGTTTCTTAATCTCTCTGGGCCTTTTCTTCATCAGTAAAGATACTATTAACTACCTCA